TTAGGGTTAGGGGCGTTGTAGGGGGCAAGTTTTTTAAAGGTGGCATAAATGTAGTTGAGGCTGATTTGGAGGTGGTGGGCTGATGTGAGTAAGTGTTCCTGAAATATAAGGGGACACACTAAAGCAGAGATAATGCATATCATTCAAAAAGCAGTGCTATTAAATGTCTTTCCTTCCCCCAAGCATTTTTGTTTTTGTATTGCCGCGCCCGGGTTGTAAATAAAATGTATTTGTGTACAAATTAGAGTCTCCCCTTCAACCCCGCAGCTCAGATAAAATGCATGAGAGGAAATTATTAAATAACAAATTGCCTTCAGGACATCATCTCATTCAACACTTCCTTATTTGAACACACATAAATAGTTGCTGTCCCGAGGGATAAACTTGACATATTTTGTTTTTCTAAAATTAATAATTTCCCACAAGCAGGCAGTTTATAATGGTTCGCCAGACGGTGATTGGGAGGAGACTGCTCGAATGCCCCGTTTGCAGTTTATATTAAGTTTCCTTATTTTTACTCGGCTTTGAACTCCACCCACTCCCTTGCTGCTGACGAATCCCGAGAGACGGTGAGCGGCATTGCAAGTTGTTCATGATTGCCTTCTAGCTTTTTATTATGTCATTAGCTGTTATTTTATTGGTGAAGTTAGCATGTGTTTTCAGATGACAAAAACTTGATATGAGGTTTATAGTATTTTATCATTGTACAAGAATCCATCTGTTAATCGCTTAAACAATTCTTAAAATCCACTCATTATGAATTAGTTCCTGTAACACACTGCTACTGAGCAGGAACACTCGTCTGTTTTGTTATATGTGACCCGCTCTATCGAAATCAGTCGGAAGTCGCAACGGCTCATTTAAAAATAAACGTGGATTTGCATAAAAAACTATTTTTTCGGGGTTCGGGTGTTTTGTTTGATTTTAAACAAACAAAGTCTTGGCTTTCAGAATATGAAACTTTTATTTCCAAACTCACACGATAAATACATTCTTTAAGCTTGTAAAGGGAAGATGACAGGCAATCTGCTCTTCTGCACAGCGCCCGTTCNTTACCGTGGACAACTTTTCACATGCCAAACTTGTCACAACTCAACAGGCTGCTTTTGCACTTCTGATTCATGTAAGTCTTATTTTACACTTCTTCTACCTAAGAAGTTACTTGGTAACTTGTGAAAGATAGCAGTACATAATAATTGAACATCACCTGACCTTGTCATCCATTACTAGTGAGGAAGAGACTTCATGTCTAGGTCAAATTACACGGAAGGAACTGGCCAAATGCTGCTAGTGTACGATTATTATATATCGCAACATCACAATGGACAACTTCTCTACCAGTATCCCTCTGGCTGAAAAGCTCCTTGAGAAAAACTTGACCATTGTGGGGACCCTTCGCCATAAGAAGCCGGACATACCGCCTGTCATGAAGCCATCCAAATTGAGGGAAAAGTATAGCTCAGAATTTAGATTAATTGGCAACATGACCATGGTGAGCTATGTGCTGAAAACGGGGAAAGCTGTTGTCCTCCTGAGCACCATGATGAGGACAGAGCAGTGGATGACAACAGTGTAAAGAAGAAACCAGAAGTGATTCAGTAATACTCTCGCGCTCACGCAGTGTAATGTAGTATATGCGCAGTGATCGACGAAGGGGCAGGACGAGCAGGGAGGCCAAGGAAGAGAGCTTAAGGAAAGGCGGAGGGCGTAGAGGACACCCGTCCTTGATTTCAAGCTCCTCCCTAGCTCCTCCCCTCAGCTCTCTTCTTTTTACATTCTTTAACTCGTTCGGAGAGTACAGATACAGGTTTAATGTCCCGTCTTCCTTGACCGGTTTACGACGATCACATGATAATAATATATACGTCGTTGTAGTCGTTACCTGGTCTGAAGAATGTGAGCGTATACCATTAGTCCCACAACACGTCGATTTGTACCGACTCTCTAATTCAGAACTCTCTACTGTGAGACTCTCGGTAACACTCTAGCGAAGTGTAACACGGGTGGGCGTGTGGTAGCCCGGTACAGGTACAAGTAGGGCAACGACACCTTGAGGCCCGTGGTTGGGCAAATCTCTCTTGGTAGTACTTAGGTAGACACCACGGTGAGGACTAAANATATCAGCACCAAAACTGCACCGGGAGCTTCATGGCATTTTGGATAATTCTATGCTTTCAACTTTGTGGAAACAGTTTGGGGAAGGCCCTTTTCTGTTCCAGCATGACTGTGCCCCACAAAGCAGGGTCCATAAAGGCATGGTTGGATGAGTTTGGATTGGAAGAAGTTGACTGGCCCGCACAGAGCCAGACCCCCACCCCACTGAACACCTTTGGGAGGAACTAGAATGGAGAGCCAGGCCCTCTCGTCCAACATCAGTGTCTGACCTCACTAATGCTCTTCTGGANAGTGATTCAGTAATATAACATAACAAAATGAGGAGTGGACACAATGGATCAGATGGTTCCCTGAACGGTTGGTGCCGGAGTTCACATACAAGCGGAGAACATGGAGGAGGCCCATGGTGCTCTGGCACAATGTGCTCAATGTTGCCACCCTCAATGACTACTCCATCTTTACTTTATCTTTAACACCCTGATTACATGGGTGGTGTGACCAATGCACGGCGGCGTTTCATCAAGGAGCTGGTCAAAGAGCTTGTCATGCCACATACACTATATGAAAAAAGTTGAGGAGCATAGTGCGTACAAGTGGCCAAAGCTTTGCTGACTCAATAACTGCCGAGTTCCAGCTCTGGCATTAATATCAGCACCAAAACTGCACCGGGAGCTTCATGGCATTTTGGATAATTCTATGCTTTCAACTTTGTGGAAACAGTTTGGGGAAGGCCCTTTTCTGTTCCAGCATGACTGTGCCCCACAAAGCAGGGTCCATAAAGGCATGGTTGGATGGGTTTGGTGTGGAAGAAGTTGACTAGCCGCACAGAGCCCTAGAGCCCTAGAATGGAGAGCCAGGCCCTCTCGTCCAACATCAGTGTCTGACCTCACTAATGGTCTTCTGTGGACAGGATCTGTCTGTGTTGTGTTTTGTCTTGTCTTTTTCTGTCTTTGGTTTCATGTTTTATTTTGAAAGGTCTTCACCTCCTGTCTTGCCTGTTGCTGTCTGTCTGTTTTCCCTCCTAGCTAATTACCCGATTGTGTTCACCTGGTGCCCCTGTGTTTTCTCCTCCCTCCTCACCTGTGTCTGGTTTGTGTGATTAGTCTTGTGTGTATTTAAGTTCTGGTTTTTCTGTCTGTCATTGTTGGTTCATTGTTTGTCTTTGACTGTGTTCTCGTGTTAGTGTTCTGTTTGTGCCTCTAGACCTTGAAATAAAGGTATTTTTTCAGTTTATTCTGCATTTGGGTCCTGCCTGCTTCACTCAACCGTAACAGAATGAACCAACCACAAATGGACCCAGCAGATGATCCATTTGAGGTAGAATTACAGCATTTTACCTTTTAGATAAAAGGTAAAATGCTGTAATTCTACCTCAAATGGATCATCTGCTGGGTCCATTTGTGGTTGGTTCATTCTGTTACGGTTGAGTGAAGCAGGCAGGACCCANTACTGTATCCGTAGCACCCCACGCAATAGTTGGGACTTTGTACTGACGTCAGTAAAAAAGGTTTGCCCCCCCCCAAGCGCAAATTTCAAACTCCGCCTATGGCAGACTGGGCTCTGGTTTCAGACAGTGGGTGAAAAGAGGTGCTGCAGCACAGGCAGTATGAGAAAAATAAAGAGCTTTTTGAACATTAAAGCATGGAGACATGTCACAGTAGAGGCACTTAATACAAATATGAACCTGAAAATTTGCAGAATATGCCCCTTTAAAGTAAACTGAGGGGAAATCCTATGATTTTTACTGTAAAATACCATCTTCTGTTTTAAAAACTAAAAAACAAAACCAGCCCAGCTTTAATCATCAACACATCAAGTGATGCATGGAAGCATGTTGCTCAGTTTAGCTGCTCAATCTCCACCCCAGAATCTACCCGTAGGCTGTTATTATTTCTTTCTCTGTGGAGGGGTATGGCATGTGTTATTGTCGCTTCCCATTCCCCCTCTATGCATTGTTAATGGTATACTGTGGAAAGTGAAAGGTCAGAGACCAGACACCTAATATTTGCTGTCCATAACTGCATTCATATACTAATGCATCTATTCAAGTTGGCTGACAGAGGGACGTCACATACGTTGGTTGAAAGCTGCAATTACCTAGATACCCAATAAAGCCCCATAATGCATTAATGGTCTGTGCTTGTCATCTTTTGTCCATACTTACATATAATTGAAATGTGAGGCTTTTCATTTCCCATCACTTGTCACCAGAATGTGTGTGTCAAAAGCCTCGCTCATTACGAGCTGCATCACACACACACACACACACATGTATTAAATAAGGACATTATGACATTATGTTCTGCTGCAGAAAGAAAACATTTGATTGTCTTAGAAAGTATTTATTGCATTGTTTTGCTATACTCTTTTCCACCTTAAACTATTGCCCCTTCAAATGTTTTGCATAGAGGTAAAATGCGTAATCACACCCTCCCTTCAAATAATTACTGGCTGATGTGTTCCTCCTCTCAGTTAATGCCTCCGCCGGATGTCATTTAGTCACTTTTGTGTAAATAGATTGTGTTTTTTTCAGATTGAAAGAGGATATGAGGGCTCACTAACAATTTTCAGTACATCCAGCTTTTTGAATGGCCGGCCATCTGTTTGCCAGAACTCAAGTTTTAACAAGGGCTTTGAAAATATCAGCAAGGATGTGGATATAAATATTCACAATAAAGTACATCACGGTTTAAAGTGTTCAAGTAAAATCTCCAAATCCCCTCCTTCTCTTCCCCCCGGCAAATGGTAGATCTGTTTACCGCTGATAATCTTATCATATTCAGATTTCACTCATCACCCTGTCCCGGCAAATCTACATCTCTGTTATTGATCAGCCCTGTGATATAATGAAAGCCTATCTAAGCACTCAATCTTCTTGTCTGCAGGGCTGAAGATCCGCGAGGTGATGATCAACGTGTCCCGGCAGCAGGTGGAGGACTTCCATGGCCCGGAGGACTACTGGTGTCTGTGTGTCGCCTGGAGCCACCTGGGGACCTCCAAGAGCCGCAAGGCCACCGTGCGCATCGCCTGTAAGCACCGTGTCACTTTGATACCACACTGACCTTATTGTTCTTGAAAAGGTTATTTCTCAGGCTGGTGGCATGATTTTGTAGAAGCAATGATTGCATCATGCTCGTGTGTGAGCGGAAGGTCACACATGAAACAACATGTCTTCATGCTGTTGTGGCTGTTCTTTAATGCATGTTGTTTATTCTCTTTTCTAGACCTGAGGAAGAACTTTGAGCAGGACCCCCAAGGCACAGAGGTGCCTCTGAATGGCATGATTGTGTTGCACTGTCGTCCCCCAGAGGGAGTGCCTGTGGCTGAGGTGAGGGCTTCTTGCTCTTCAAACAAGTAACATTTTCTCCTGTGTTGCCTGGAGAGGAGCAGTCGTCTGTCTGCATTCCTTACAGTGTAACTCTGTATTCATGATACGTTGTTTTGTTACTCTGCTGCCCCAGACGCATCTGCACATCTCTTCAGTTTAAAGCTGCAGTTGATGAGCTGAAGATGCAATTTGTATAGCTTTCTCAGGCTCGCTCTGCTCAAGAAGGAGATATTATTCATATACTGGGAGTAACAACCGACCATGTGCATCACTATGTTCTCTTTTCGCTGTGTTCTCTGGTAAAAGTATGCACGGCTATGACTTATTTAGATGCCATGTATTAATTTCACTCTCAGTATAATTCCCTCGCCTCCTCCTCTGAGTGTTTTTGTGTGAGTGTGTGTGTTTGAAAGGGAGAGCCTGTCATTGCCATTTTATTTTTTACTTTGAATTTAAAATGAGGCTCTTGCGGACAGTCCTGTTGTGCGGTGCTCTGATGTTGTGAGCCTTCATGTGAAGGCTCAGCAAGCAGAGATGTCAATATCAAAGCCTGTGTGCCCGAGCATCTGAAGCTTTGCATTTACTTAAAGGCACAGTCCGTGATCCATACGTAAACAAAATGACAGCCACATCAGCTAATTTCAAAGCACAGGACCGAAACGCTGCTATTGCTCCCAAAATGTGGAATTGTCTTGACATACACTGACTTAAAAGTTGGTTATTTGTTATGATACTAAAGCCTTGGTTACATTAGTTCTGTTATTATAAGAAATATAAGTTTATATCTGAATTTATGATCAGTTGAAAGAAAACTACAATATGTTTATCTGTTTACATGTCAAACTTAATTATTTTAACAGTCAGAATAAGGAAAGTTAAACATGAATTGGATCAATAGCATTATTAAAAATAAAATAATGTACTATTGATAATAATTGTAATGATATTTTAAATTCCTTTGTCCACAATAATTATGTAGTGAAAATCTGATATTGTGATTGATTGTGATATTTCCTGATTATTAACAGCACATTGCTATTTGCTATGAAAAATATATGTTCAGACTTTAAGCCTTCTCAAAGATGACCATGGACTCCTTCCACAGCACACGTGAAGGATTAGTGTGTGTGCTCGTGTGTGTGGTGCATGATGAATGATTCAGCTCTCACAAATGAAGCATCGGTGTACCACTAGTCTCCCCGATGCATTGTGGTCATCAAATAGGCAACTCCTCATGCATTCATTAATGTGACTGGCTAACAAAGAGAATGGTGATAGTAAATAATGCAGGAAAATCCAGCTCTCTCTAGTATGACTGGCATTAAGAAAACTCTCATTGTGAGTTGGGGATGGATGTACTTTTCTTTCTTCGTGACTTTAGGGACTGCTGAGAGGTTAAAGCCTGTTTTTGTAACCAGCTCTGTGAAATTTGGCTCAGAGAGAAGCTGTAGCTCAGCCACATTTTGAGTTGAAGGAATTGAGGTCATGGTGCAGTGTGATCTGCTAAACCACATGTGTATTCTGAGGCATATTTATTTTGGTCATAACATTTATTAGGATTTTTCATAGTCTTGTCATTTGCAACGGATCCTGATGGTGAATCAGACTTTAAATGTTGCCGAGTGGTCCCGATGCAAAGGAAATTAGTTCCAACTCAGCATGCTGTTTTAAGACACAAACGCTGTAGAGCCAACTTTACAGCTTGAAATCCCCTTATGTCGCTGCTCTCCTCATGTTCTCAGAGGCAACACTAACAGTGAGAGAGGGAAGAACTTTATCCGCATCTCGCTGTAACTAAGCCACACAAGAGTGTACTGGGCTGCTGTGTAGGATGTTAATGAAAATCACAGAATGCTATATTATCTGTCCCAGTAGTGATAGAGGCAATAATCTGTGCACACTGTAAATCCGACCACAGAGGATGTATCACAGTAAAACAGCTTAAGTCTGCTTCAGTTTATTAGTGACAAGAGTCAAGATGGCCAAATCTCTTCACTTGGCTCTGCTTTTTATAGACAGTGAGCTGCTAAGAAAACAGATTATATGCACTGTGATGTTGAAGTTATTAAATTGTTTGCTCTGTTTAGGGAAAGATAATCACGTAATGATTTTTCTTAAAGGCAAACTGAAATTTAAATCCCCTCTTGCTAAGCAGTCAATATTGAAACTCAAAACGTAATTACCAAAAAGAAAACAGAGCCCCGAGGTCAAAGCCGAAGCTGTGAGTTTTACAGAGGTCATTGTTCATCACAACAACTTGGCCCGGGAAAAACTAATGTGGGACTAAGACCAAACTGAGTGTTAGAGCTGCCAATGACTCAGCATATGTTAAAATAACATACATGTATACTGTCAGGGTTGGGGAAAAATAGGACCCAAATGCAGAATGAGGAGGAAGCTGGTTTCAAAAGGAAACAAAAGGCAAGCTTTATTCAACAAAAGCTGAACAAAAACAAGAATCCAAAAACAGGTACCAGGTAGCATCCAATACAAATGTGAAAATGACCAACATGAAGGGGAACAGGAACGACAAAATAATGAACACTGAACACAGGAAGAGACAAGACTAAATACAGAGAGGGGTAATCACAAGACGAGAAACAGCCGGGCAGGGGAGGAGAAACACAAGGGCGACAGGTGAACACAATCAGATAATTAGACACACCAGGGAAACTAAAGACAGGGGGAAAACACAGGGAAAAGGACCAGACAATACACCAAGAGGAAACCCATAGTGACTGCTGTCGGGCCCGTCCCCCTCTGTGTCCCGCCGTGTCTCACTTGCCTGCTTGTCTATTAATCTCCGTGGACGAGCCGGGAGGCTCTCGACAGACAGAAGTGGCGAGCCCGGTCCGGGTCTGATTTCTGTCCCCTGTTTGTTCCTTCTCCCCGTGGTGACCCTGCTAGACTCCGCGACGACGACCTCGGACGCGCTCAGGACCCTCTCTCTCCGCTGCAGACTTCGAGCTGTCGGGTCTCGGTACTCGAAGGGCGGCGACACCGGAGAAGCGGGGGTGAGTACGGTTGAACACAACCGAACAACGGGCCACGGGCACGTCGGCAGGGCTCTAGACAAACCCACGCAAGTGGAAACCTGACGACGGAACCGGGCCCGCACGGCGTCGGCTCAGGAGGAAAGAAACCGAGACGGAACGGGCGCGCAGCGGTTCTAGGGAAAAAGGCCCAGGAGGCGACACGAGGACCCGAAGTCGGTTCTTGCCGG